CGACTGCTGTCTATATCTGGTGAAAAATTATCAGCACACCCATAATTAGTGCAACCAGTCAAAGAAAAATTGATGAAAACAATTACCGAGCTAGATTTAAGAATGGAACAAATTTACAACGCAGATGAAAGTGGCCTTTATTGGAAAATGTTACCAGAGAAAACCTATGCTGCATCATTTGAAAAATCTGCCCCGGGAAGAAAGCCGGAGAAACAACGAATAACGTTTCTAGCCTGCACTAATGCTAATGGTTCACACAAAATAAAGCCACTGGTAATTGGGAAAGCAAAAAATCCGCGCTCATTTAAAATGTCAATATCCCTGTTGATTAATACTGTTCAAAAACCGCTTGGATGACTAGCAGTATATTCCTGAAATGGTTCCACAGGTGCTTTGTCCCTCAGGTATGACAATCAATTATCACAAATGCTCTATTCATAATTTGAAGATGTTTTCAATTTGTAGGTAAAAGGGTTCCTAAAACAACAGAAGCTTCCAATAAAGCATTGTTACTGTTGGATAATGCACCAAGTCATCCTCCCGAGCAACAACTGAGGAGCAGGGACGGATCAATTTTCGTCATGTACATGCCGCCCAACGTTAATTCAACCGATGGGCCAGAATATAATAGACTCACCAAACTATACTATAGGAAGTTTCTACGTTCGTCTGCTTATCAAAGAATCCTGAAAACTTATCTGAGACTTTAAAAAAAGTAACATTACGAGAAGCTGTTTTAGATTTACATATGGCCTGGAATGAACTTAACCAGCAAACTATTCAAAAATGTTGGTACAATCTCTTTTGTACCAATAATGAAGCGTAATTAGAGAACGTTTGCGATCCAATAATGATAATGTATTAGTGTGTCATTGGATGTTGTTGGCTTATTGAAAACAGTGAATCCCAACATTGTTTGTACTCCTGCTGATATTAATTTATGGAACGAAGATAAGCAGACGAATGATGCTGATAAGGAGGAGGGTATGGACAGTGAGGATGATGAGAACGATCCCATTGAAGTCAGAAGTGTAGTGACTGACGCGCAAGCTATACAAGTTTTAACCAAGCTTTAGATTGGGGTGAAAGAAAAGAAGTTTCATACACGGATATTTTAGTTCTTCGTAAATTACGGGCGCAGGCATTGGAAGACAATGCTAAGCGCAAATTTACGCAGAAAATTGTTAATTATTTTTCTTCTAATTAAAAAAAATACTTATCGCTGTTAGAATATTTTGTTATAAATAGTATTTAAACGTTTTTTTAATAAATCAAATATATATAAATCACGTTCGCTAATGTAAACATTTCGATAATGTGAACCACACTTGGATTAAATTAGTTTACATTATCGAGCGTCTGCTGTATATGAAATTTTAAATATTCAACCACTTCAATTCTTGTAACCTATTTTATTTTTTGTGGTGTACTTAGTTATTCAAATTATTCTCATAGCTTTATTTTGCAGGATTGTAATTTTGACAATACAGCTTCATTGGCAGTGAACAATATAGTTGAACAATATAGGCAATTCGGTAGAATAGTTGTATAATAAACTATATACATATATTAGGTTCACTATGGGATATGTACCAAGACTATGAGGCTTCTCATAGTCTTAGTACATATCCCATAGTGAACCTCAAGCTTAAGTTTACTATCAAATACATATATGCCTAAATATTTTATTTATTCAACATTTTCAAGATATCACCATTTATTCTAACTGTGTTAGTATTTTCATTTAGGCATTTTCCTTTTAGCATACATTTTATGATTTTTGCAAGTCAGCATTTTTAAAGTAGTGTCTATATTTCATCTGATATGAATATTAATGTATAATCTGGAAATATCTAAATTTTACAATAATCACACATGTCATTAATGCAAAAACGAAAAAGTAATGGTCCTAGTTTACTACCTAGTACACCAACAGAAATATTTAATAAATTTTGTGAGTAATTTATCTCTGTCAATAGTTTCAAATGCCCTTTTGAAATCCAAAAATACTGTCACTGTATGTTTCCTATTATCATTTGCTAACAGCATCTGTTATAATGTTTTTCGTAACTAATCAAGAACATTGCTCTAACCACCATTTCATCCAGGCAACCAGTTATACATCCTTCTGCTTACTTGATTGTCTATCTCATTCGTCACTGCACCATATGTTAATGACTAGTTTACTCAGTCCCGAAAGGACCAGGACAATTATCACGTTTTGTTATTTTACATACCTTTCTGCACAAATTCCCACAGTGAACGAGTTGTTCTCCACATTGCATCCTTTATAAATTGTTCCATCAGTGCACAATAGAGCAGCCCCAACTTGAAAGTTGCTATATGGGCAATAAGCAAAACTCCTTACTTCGGTGGCTTCTCGAATCAGGTTTTGAGCCTTGATTTCTGAAGATTTAGATAAAAGTAATAGAAAATGATTATAAAATTGGCTATAGTTAAGGAAACACAAATCATACCAAAAAGTAAATGTGTACGACATGCAAACTAAGCTCATTTTCCTATCCTAGCTGGTGCAAAAGGCTGAAGCAAAAAACACACCAATCGCCAAAATATTGTAAAGTTGACTTGCCTAACGTACTGAACGGCTGAATACCAGTGTTAGCATTATTCTTTTTTTGCAGTCTGACATTATTTTTCTTTGATATCTGGTAACCTCTGTATTACTAGTTCTCTCCCAAAATATATCTATCATTTATATGCTATTTCTTTGATAATGATAACATTTGTTATCAAATTTTTATTCCAATAATCTTGCCAATATATACTGATATGCTTATGCTAACTTTGCAGTTTTTAGATATTGAAAATTCTTACGTGTGGTTACTGCACAACCGTTCAGAAATCATTTACAATTGTAACATGTTTAGGTTTCAAATTTAGGTCAGAAGACTTATGTTATTTGAAAATTATTCGTGCGGCATACAGCTGTCAAATAAAGTGTTATGACGTGTATGAAACTTAACCCCATTTTCATGACGTATCAGCTGAGTTGTCGCTATGTTGCCAATTTCCGCATTTTGTACGAAGTTTTAACGCAAAATGGTATAGGGGGCTTCCAAAACATGGGACAAACATTCAAGGGTTTCTGGTTTACCGTCTTTGGTGTATTTTAAGATCATTCTGTTGTCTGAAAACCCTATTTTCGTATTTTAAATCGAGCTTTGCGAGACTCAGGACCTTTTATATTCATAGCTCGTAGACCAACACGAC